TACACATGGTTCCTAAATTCCACCAACAGAGAAAGGTAGTCACAGGGTTACCCAAAAAGACTGTCTGCTGGTCATGTTACTGCTTATTCTGGCGAATGATTAATAAGTTGGGAAGAAAAAAAAACCCAAAAGATTTGTTATAAAACATTCTGTAGAAACTTGGGGCAGAGACTGCACCCAAAAAAAATCAGTGATTTCAAGTTAATGGTAATCAGGTAAAGGAGATATTTTGAAATACGTGATAAAAAGCTGCTACCGCTGATTACAGAGTTTGACATCACTGCTCCAAGGCAGCAAACAGGAGATCAGTAGGAATTCTTTACCTTCCTTCCACTTTTCAAATGGAGGCGAAGAATTAGCTTCTAGGAATCCTTTAGCAATTCACAGCAAGAAAGAGCTTTTCTCCTCGTCCCGGTCCAAATTAGCTACAGGCCGGAGTTACTGAGAGGAACGGCTCATTGAAGTTCCACAGAAAAAGTTGTTTTCAAGGAGAATAGAAAAAAATGGAAACCGAATTGGGCAGACCATGTGCCTCCCTAAATCCAAAATTAAATCCACGATGTATAATCTGCCTGCCTTCTCACATTACACTGCGCTGGGTGGCCAAACATACCAAGGGGGTCCTGCTGAACTGGAAGTGGGTTGTCATCTTAGCCTCCGTGAAAAGCACATCTTTGAAAACTCATCTTTCCTTATGGGACTACTACATTTTAAAAGGATTTTTTTCTTCTAAATGCAATATATTGATTTTTACTTTTTAAACAAAAATGTTCCTTATTGAATTCTTTTAGTTGATTCTATTTTTGCAGTTTGTGTAATTGATACTCTAGGTGATATGGAGATTCCTGTGGCTGCCTGGCTCCAGGCAGTGGCTCCCAGAAGCTAGCGAGCAGAGCACACTGCCCAGAGCTGGGATATCAATACCCTTTGTGAAGACCACAAAATAGGCAATTTGAAAAGTAGAGAGAAACCCGGAGAGGAAAAAAGGTCCCTTGCCATTTTACTACTTTCAGCATTTTAATTAAAATGTATTTTTGTCAATGCAATGGTTGTTTCAGACATTTTAAGAAAACATATTGACTCCAAATTGGACCCCAGCGTAAATTAAGTCACTAAACTTTTGAAAACTTGTGCCATGCTGCAGATGGACTTTAAAAGTCATTGGGGGGTGGGGGGAATGGGGGTTTCTAAATATAATAAACTTCCCAAAAAGGCAATCTCAAACCTAACTGAAGTCATACTATTTTTGAAAGTGGAAATCCCCCTTTTCACCACACAACCCCGTGGTCGAGCCATCTAAGAATTCAACTTCTGTGCCAGCGATAGGACAAAGCTCATCCTCTGCCGAATGCCACAGTCACTCCTCTTCCTTCCTGCCACCCACAGGGTCAGCAACAAGCACTATCAGTTAAACGTGACACCTGGTGTCTGCGGGCTGCCTCCGGTGGGAGCCAAATCCCACGTGCTGGTGTGGTTCCCACTTAAATAGATGTTTTCCTTTGAATCGTTCCTTTTCAACCTTCATCTCAGTTCTGTGCTAGTTTCTGGACTTTTGCCAGCACTTCTTGATAAAACAGCTTGTATTTGCTTTGAAAAACAAAAAAGGTTTGCATTTTGGAAAATATACTTCATACATGTCTCTAACCTTTACCATGGCCTGAAGGGAAAATGTAGCAGTTTCTTTCTGTAAATTTTATATATAGGAAAGATAATGGTCACTTTATAAAGAAAGCCAAACTTGTCCACATCCTTACACTCTTCCTCAAAGTTCATTTCCACATTGAATTTGGGTCGGGCTGTGTTTAGAGTGCCAATGAGCCTGCCTGGGCCACTTCTGCATTCTTGATGTTTGCAGCATTCACTGCAGAAACTGGCATCAGGACAGGCCTCTGCCACCCACAGCAAAGCTCCTCCCACCTCCCTCCACTGTGCAACCCCAAAGTGACAGAGGCTGAGGATTCCCAGCAAAGCAAACTGCTTCTGTCATCTGCTTTCAGGCAATTTTGAGACATCGTTCTTTGACTTATTTCCACTGCTAAGCCCTGACACAATATAATATTTCAAAAGCCCCTAAGTGCCGAGAGAATACTCAAAATCACGTTTTACAAAACCAAAGACAGAGGCCTCCCACTGCTTATTAATGCCCATCATGATAATTCCTTACTTTGTCATAGTCTATTTTTGTTGTTGTTGTTGTTAGTTTGTGTTGTTAATTTGTTCAGCCAAGGATCAAGCAATGGAGTGCAAGTGAGGCCACCCAGCGAGGGGGAGAAGGCGCAGTCTCTCAATCTACAGTGTACTTCTAAACGTTCACTTTTTTTTCTGATTATATAGGTAATTCACGTTTACATCAGAAATTTTGGGAAAATTTGCAGAACATTAAGAAGAAAAAATTATTGCTTTACATCGTCTACCCAAAATTGCACTTCAATATTTTGGGAAATATTATTCTAGCATTTTTTTCTATACCTTTAAATATTCATCGTCACCCCCCAGCTCCCCGCCCGACTCCTCCATTTGGGATCATACTAGACATATTGTTCTATAACATGGCTTTTTTCAGTTCGTGTAGTGTAATTAGTTTTTTATCACTTAATTTTATCCATCTTTTTTTCATTTGTTGTTATAAAAACCCAGAATAATAGCCAGAGCACATGTTTTTAGCCCCATTTCACAGATTAAGAAAATGATCACACCTGTAATCTCAGCACTTTAGGAGGCCAAGGCAGGCAGATCACGAGGTCAAGAGATGGAGATTATCCTGACCAACATGGTGAAACCCCATCTCTACCAAAAATACAAAAATCAGCTGGGCGTGGTGACGCATGCCTATAGTCCCAGCTACTCGGGAGGCTGTGACAGGAGAATTGCTTGAACCCAGGACGCAGAAGTTGCAGTGACCCGAGATTGCGCCACTGCACTCCAGCCTGGTGACAGACCATGACTCCGTCTCAAAAAAAAAAAAAAAAAGGGAAGAAAAGGGAAATGAGACACAGAAGTGCCTATACTAAAGTCATAGTGTGATTAAGCTTAAGTCTCCCAACTGCCAATAAAGTGCTCTTTGCATCAAATTAAAGGGGCAGAAAAGCACAATGTAGGGGTCCTCAATATTCCTTTGCAAGAATAAGAGGCATTAGTGACAGGTCATTGACATAGTGACTCCTTAGAGAAGAAGAAAATAACATTTTACTATTATAGCAATAATGGCACTGATTTACAAATGAGAGAAAATACAATGTTTTCAGGAATTTAAAAATATTTGGGAAATGTTGGTGAATATATGAAATTTCCATTCGTTGCTGGTGGAAGTGTAAATTGATACAACCACTTTAGAAAACTGGTAAAGCATAATGAACATCTTAACACACAGCATTACCATTCCTTGGTGTATAACACACAGCACTACCTAACACACAGTATTTCCAGTCCTTGGTATAAACCTAAGAGTAGAGCAAGGTTCAACAAACCATGGTGTACAGGTCAAATCTCGTCTTTGTAAATAGCACTTTATTGAAACACAGCTACATCCATTTGTTTATGTCTTCTCTAGAGCTACTTTGGCACTACAATGGCATAATTGTGACAGACAGAAACCATATGACCTGCAAATCCTAAAGGATTTACTATTTGGCCTTTTACAGCAGAAGTGTGCCACTCTGTCTGCGTGGGAGGATAAATGCATATATTCACAAAGCAGTATGTTATAAGAATGTTTGTAACAGTTTTACACACAATTGCCAAAAACTGAAACCCACCCAAATGTCTGCCAACAGTAGAACAAATAAATCTTGGTATAGTTACACAATGGAATACTATAAATTGATGACAAAGAACAAACTATTGCTTTTTTTTTTTTTTTTTTTTTTTGAGATAGAGTTTTACTCTAGTTGCCCAGGCTGGAGTGTAGTGGCGCGATCTCAGCTCACTGCAACCTCCACCTCCCTAGTTTAAGCGATCCCAAAGTGCTGTGATTATAGGTGTGAGCCACCGTGCCCAGCTTCTTTTTTTTTTTTTATTTTTTATTTTTTTGAGAAGGAGTCTCACTCTGTCACCCAGGCTGGAATGCAGTGGCACAATCTTGGCTCACTGCAACCTCCGCCTCCTGGGTTCAAGCGATTCTCCTGCCTCAGCCTCCTGAGTAGCTGGGATTACAGGCACCCACCACTACGACCATCTAATTTTTTATATTTTTAGTAGAGACGGGATTTCACCATGTTGGCCAGGCTGGTCTCGAACTCCTGACCTTGTGATTCAGCCGCCTCAGCCTCCCAAAGTGCTGGGATTACAGGTGTGAGCCACTGCGCCCAGCCAAACTATTGCTATCTACAAAAGTCATACATTTCACAAAGATAATGTTGTACAAAGAGTACCTACAAAATGATTCTATTTATATAAAGTCTAAAGAACAGTCAAAAATTAACATATGGTGATCCAAATTAGAATATTGGCTACCTTGGGGTGGTTATTGACTGAAAGGAGGCATGCGAGAGAGGCTTCTGGAGTGCTGGCAGTGTTAATCTGGGTGGTAAATAGGGCATGTTTATTTTGAAATCCACCAAACTCTATACTAAAAAGTACATTATACCTCAAAAGAAATTTAGAAAACTTGTGAAGTATGAGAAATGGTCAGAAGAGATGGTAAAGGAGTACAGGAAAATCTATTGTAATGTTGTCAAGTATAATGATTACCACTATATGATTATAGAGGTCTCTGATTCGACAGAGTAATATAATAGCATTCTTGTTAGCAAAATTAATGCCACAATATTAATGCAATAACAGAAGTTCACACTAACAAGAGATAAGTCTGTTGCCCTCATAAGGGTTCCTCACTGAACAATATGAAGGACCTAAAGGAGTTGGCAAAATCTTTAGGCTCTGAAGCTGCCAGCAGATTCTGAGGCAGAAAAGTAAAAAAAAAAAAAAAAAGCTCCAAGGAGACAAGAGAGGGGACCAGATAAGGAGATTCAGTGATTCCACTCAAGCTGCTCTTGTTGCAGGTGCACTCTGTATGGATTGATGACCAATTTCATGGAAAAAAAATAAGGAAGTAGTTTGCCAAAAGTCTCTGGACTCTATGAGCATGCCTGATTGACCAAAAGTAAGACTCTTTTTGATAACTGACAGATCAACACACCCTCCTAGATGTTACAGACACAGATCCCATTAACTGAATAAATAAATGAAGAAAATATGCAGAAAGGAAACTGTTAACCTTGGAAAGGAAGTCTCCATCCACTCTTCTTTCATTGACATCTTTATATTTATATTCAACCACTTTGTTATATTTACTTATTTATGTTTATACCGGCTGTTTCCTCTACCTGGAACCTTATTCCCCTGTACATCCTCAGACGCACTCCCTATTTCCTTCAAGTCTTAGCTCAGATTTCACTTTCTCAGTCCAGATCCATATAGACTCCCCATCTGAAGTTGCTGCCCACACTCTCATATCAATATTACAGGTGTTCCCTGGCCTGCTGTATTTTTCCCATTGTACATATCACTTCCTTACACTCTATGCACTGTACTTACTTATTATGGCTATTGTCTGTCTCTCCCACAGTAAACTGTGAACTCCACAGGGGCAGAGATTTATTTTACAGACGTAAGCCTGTATCCCTGGCACAAGGTAGGCGTGCAGTAAATATTTGTTTCATGAATAAGTGAATGAAGATGGTAGTCAACCATCCTTTCTGGCACTAATATTTAGAATTACTTGATCCACAGAGTCTTTCCAAAAAGATGGCAATAATTTGTACTACCAACTACCAATATATAAGCCTGCTTATTTTCCCGTATTCTCATTAGCATCACATATTATCAGTCTTTTTCATTGTGCACTATTTGTTGGGTGCAAATATACCTCATTGGTTTTTAAATTTCATATGTTTATTAATCATTTGCACATTCACTTCTAGGAATTGCCTGTTTATGTCATTTGGCCATTTTTATTTTGGATTGTCTTTTGTTTATCTCGAGGGGCTCTTTTATAAACTGCCAATACTTTGTCTATCAGATGTAGTCTAAATATTTTATTCCACTGTCTTTTAAATATTTGACTGGAAGCATTCAGACATGTTTCTGTTCAAAGAAATGTAAGAATATGAATTTTCCCTTTTATTATTCAGAAGACATAAAAGATGTTTCTTTGTGATGCTCAAGGGTTAAGCCTCCTAATCAAATTGCAGCAGTACTTAGTAGCAAGTTGTGTACAAAATCTTACCTTTCAGGAACAAGGAAAAAGAAAGATAATTGCTAGGCTAGGTTTAAATAATTTGACTTATAGCACAATTCTTTATAAGTCAATGATAAATAACAAAGTTTATTTTTCTTTTTCTTTGTTTTTGTCCCCAGGGTAATCAAGCCATGATTCTGATTCTGTGAGCAAAGAATAATGATTTCATGGCCGGGCTCGGTGGCTCACGTCTGTAATCCCAGCACTTTGAGAGGCCGAGGCAGGCAGATCACGAGGTCAGGACATCGAAACTATCCTGGCTAACACGGTGAAACTCCGTCTCTATTAAAAAATTCAAAAAATTAGCTGGGCAAGGTGGCGGGCGCCTGTAGTCCCAGCTACTCGGGAGGCTGAGGCAGGAGAATGGCGTGAACCCGGGAGGCGGAGCTTGCAGTGAGCCCAGATCTCGCCACTGCACTCCAGCCTGGGCGACAGAGCGAGACTCCATTTCAAAAAAAAAAAGGAATAATGATTTCATAAAATTATACATTCCATTTATATAACAATTTATAGTTTTCCAAGTACTTTCATAAATATTATCATATTTGATCCTCAAAAACAAAACCATTTTTCACGAAGGTAAACCAGAAGTTCATAAAAGCTAACTCTGGTGACTAGGATTCCATGTTGATTGTGTGACAGAGCCAGGCCCCCTGCCTTCTGTGGAGGATTTCTATTACTTAACTACATTAGTTAGACTTTCAATAAACAAAAATGTTAAAGTAAGAAAATGATATTAGAGTATTAAGTTGAACAGGTTAGGCCTTAAAATGTATTTCTTCTTTTTGTTCTAATAAAAATGTTAAGTTCGTATCGATCTCCTCCTGTCTTAGAAAAACAGATGGACGTCTATCTACCTGTTGTTTATTCTTGCCCCAGGTCAGTGCTGACAATCCATAGAACACAAGTCAGCGGGGTCAAGAGAAAGGCTTCTGGCAAATATTTCTCTGTGATTTTAGTGTCTGTGATCTGTATGTGGGCTACAGTACAAAATTTTAAGGTAGGGATCATTTATATAATCTGAAGCACTTTGGGCTCACCTCTCTTTATCAACCAAGCCTTATTCCAGATCCGCCCATGTGTTCCTGACTCAGCTGGCCCCTGCCATTCTTAATTAATCCCGTTCAGGCCTGGTATATTTAATCTTTTATGCCACCTGTTTCCAAATACTCTGTCAAGTCCTGGCTGGGTTACTGCTCCATTCAGGCCTTTCTATTTTAGCTTCTCAATTCTGGATTGCTGTGTTTCAGAGTTTGGTTTCACTGAGTCATGAACTGGGCAGCACCTCCAACTTTCCTCTTATTTCAAATAATTCTGGCCTTGGGCATTTCCTTGCTATTTAGCCTGAGGCATGAGAAGACCTTGGTCTGCCAAACAAGAGAGCTGGCCAGCAAGGCTGAGTATCAACTTCAGTCTGGAAACCAACTTGCATCAGCATTGCTTCCTTCCAATGAGCAAAGAGCCTCAGGCAGTCTGGGGAAAAGGTTCAGAGAACTGTGGTGTTTTTCTCGTGCCAGATGTGATGATGGGACTTGGCTTGAGACCACATGTGGAGCTTATTCACTCACACTTGTTATAGAATACTCATTTTTCTACCAGTAATGCCCTGCCAACTAAAGAAAAATAAACACATGCAGAGGTAGTCTTCAGGTGCCTACAGTTACTTTCTATTAAAACAGGCTGCTTCTTGCATAACCTGTTTTCCTTCTGGAGAAAGTTTTCTAAGCCATATATTTCTTTTCTTAATTTTATTTTTATTTTTATTTTTAAATAGAGATGGGGTCTATTTATATTGCCCAAACTGGTCTCAAACTCCTGGCCTCAAGTGATCCTCCCCTCTAGACCTCCCAAAGAGCTGGGATTACAAGCATAAGCCACTGCCTCTGTTCATAACCCATATATTTCTGAATTGTAGCTCAACTCGATACAACCACAGCAGAAATGCTGGGAGGGTAGCAAGAATGTTGAAAATAATATTGTAGTCTAAACACCAACTTCATAGCTTATAGCATTACAGCTGTCTTCAAACTAGATCACTGTCATCTGTAAACAGTAAACAAGACTGTTTACTCGGAACTTATTGTCAAAAGCAGGAGCCATATCTGTCTAATTTTTTTCACCTAATATTTGCCTAGGACTTAGAGATATTATGTGATGACATTATTCAAATATTCAGTCCTAGGACCTTAGACTTTGTCAATTTGATGAACAGACTTCTTATATTAGGCAAAATAAATAAATAAATAAATAAATTTATACTTTTTTCTCTCCGTACAAAATAATTCCCTCCCAATGTCCTTTTTCTCTCAGCTTGATTGAGGTGCGATTGACAAATAAAAATTGCATATGTTTACAGTGTACATGATGTTTTGATATATGTATATATTGTGAAATCATTATCGCAATCAAGCTAATTAACAGATCATCACCTTACATAGTTAACTTTTTGTGTATATGTGACAAGCATATATAAGATCTACACTCTAAGCAAACGTCAAGTGTACATTACATTATTATTGCCTATAGCTGTCATGCTGCATAGTAGATCCCCAGAATTTATTCATCCTGCCAGAGATTTTGTAGCCTTTGAACAATACCTCCCCCTTCCACCCACCCCCTAGCAACCACCATTCTACTCTCTGAGTTTGACATTTTTTAGATAAATACATGAAATTATACAGTATTTGTCTTTCTGTGCCTGGCCTATTTCTTTCAGCATAATGTCCTCCACGTTCATCCATGTTACCACAAACAACAGGATTTCCTTTGTTTGAGGGGCTAAATAATATTCCTCTACGTGTGTGTGTGTGTGTGTGTGTGCGCGTGTGTCACATTTTCTTTATCTATTCATTCACCAATGGATGCTTACATTAATGCCATATCTTGGTTATTGTGAATAATGATGCAATGAATATGGGAGAGCAAATACCTCTTCAACATACTGATTTCATTTCCTCTGGATATGTACCCAGAAGTGGGATTGCTGGATCACATGATACTTCTATATTTAATTTTTCTAGGAACCTCCATAATAGCTATACCAATTTATGATTTATGTTTCCATCAACAGTGTACCAGAGTTCTTTTTCTCCACATCCTCACCAACACTTGTTACATTTTGTCTTTTTGATAATGGTCATTTTAACATGTGTAAGGTGAGATCTCCTTGGGATTTTGGTTTGCATTTCCCTGATGATTAGTAATGTTGAGCTTTTTTTTTATTACATATGTTGGACATTTATATGTCTTCTTTTGAGAAATGTCTATAAAGTCCTTTGCCTGTGTTTTAATTGGGTTATTTATGTTCTTATTATTTAGTTGATTGAGTTCATTTCATATTTTAGATATTAACCCAAAACCATATAAATCGTTTGCAAATATTTTCTCCCATTTTTGTGGGTTGTCTCTTCTCTCTGTTGATTATGTTCTTCATTGTGCAGAAGGTTTTTAGTCTGGTGCAATTTCATTTGTCTGTTTTTGCTTTTGTTGCCTATACTTTTGGGGTCATATTCAAATAATCATTGCCCAGCCCACCAATGTCAAGAAGCTTTTTTCCTGTGTTTTATTCTAGTAGTTTTACAATTTCAGCTTTCATGTTTAAGTCTTTAATCCATTTTGAGATAAATGCCTAATTTTATTCTTCTTTATGTGGATATCTAGTTTTCCCAACACCATTTATTGAAGAGACTGTCGTTTGCCTATTGTGTGTTTTTGGACCTTTGTTGAAGATCATTGACCATAAGTGTGTGGATTTGTTTCTGGGCCCTATTCTGTTCCACTAACCTATATGCCTGTTTTTGTGCCAATAATATA